TTGTGTGGTTTTGTTGGCTATTTTGGGGGTTGACCTAGCACAATATCTGGCAAAATACAAAAGGTGGTTTGTTGTGCTCATACAACTAACCAACAAAACCATTGCGATTGTGTAATTCATGCATAGACTTTGAGCATAAAACAAAAGATGTACAGGGTCCAGGACCTCGTAACATAAATCATAACCTTTTTGTTTGCTTGATTGACGTTCACCGGGATTTCCGTCCATTCACTACTATGATCTGAAATATTAGCTAAGCAAGCAAGTCGTAAGTATAGTGTCAAAATATCTCACTATATTTCGTGACACTGGAATCGTACATAGGCATGCAATAAGATTGCCTCTATGTTTCGATTTAAACAAACCCCGAAAAGTGGCCCATGCTCTCAAACAAAAAGAGGTTTCTGGAACAGCTAATAGGGCGGCAAATATATTCACGTAACAAAATCAAAAAATTATCATGTACAGTGATACTGGAAGTTTGTTGCCGGAGCTTTGCGGCGGGCAGCACACATTCTTGTGCAAAATGTTGGTAACTTGGGGCTGATCGAGAAGCATCCGACAGACAGCCTGTTATGCGAAGTGAATGTTACCCAATCATCTCCCTGCTTTTATTGCTCAATCGATTCAGAAACTTTTACGTTAACCAAACGATGTGACTGATGACATCTTTGTTCCCCTCGATTCCAACTTTCTCACATATTCCTCTTTTGGGCAGAGCAGACGACACCTATTGGAGCTATGCTATGTCATTCGAGCCGAAATGGTAAACAAAGCTTCCGACAATAGAACTTCGTACAATCTCTTAAAGCTGGTGCACTGCGAGCAATGAGAGTCTGTGGACGATATTTATTCTCACAGGGAGAAGATGATGTACATTTGCGTCATGCATCGCTTACATGTATCTTATGCCGCGAGAGAAGAAAACAAATAAAGAGAGAAAACACTTATTTTCAATCCGATAACAGAGCGTCCTATAATTGCCATGCAAATCAAACAAACACAATCTCAGAAAGCCATGACACCAGGAAAAAAAATAGATTGATCGATGATTGAAAGATCTAAGTTCTTCACACATACAATACAAGCTCCTAGACAAAAACGTGACATGTAAATAGCTTTACGTACATAAATCCTGAAGCAAAATTATTGAGACTGGCAGTGTTAGTGAGAATGTCTTTGAATGCTGAGCATTAACTTCGATTTAAGAGAACTTTTAAGTCAATCGTTTGAACGAGCTGTTCGCAGTATGTAGATCTAGCCAAGCCTAAAAGCTCACTTGAGCCTGCGTTCCAATCGAAAACCAGTACCTGGGCAGCGGTCAATTAAAAAAAAAACACGTGGCTTCAATGACCTTTAATGTAAACTCGAGTCTGCGATATGTTCACGTGATACTAGTCAGCAGATACCTTGTTCTGACAGGTGTCAATTGATGATAACATGGATGTCCAATGTCAAAGATGTACGCTGTAAACCAAGGCTGCATGTTTCGGTCAACCTATATTAGCTGGAGTATGGCCGCCATGTCGCGCGACCTCGTCGTCGTTGTCGTTGTGCGCACGCGCCCACGAGCACCACCTTTAGCCATGATAACCATGAGCAAATTAATTGATGGGTTTCCTTTTCCCTCCAACATGAGCATGGTGCTCCGCTCGGCGGGCCTTCGGGCCCCCGGAGGTCCGCTATCTTTTCATGCATTTAAACGTTGAAGACTGCGTTTATCGTGCACATCAACTAGTCATGTCCAATACACCAGATCGGATTCGGGTCGACGTCATGCAATATATGTTGAGTGAAACTGATATTGCCTGGACAGAACGGAAATCTTGACAGAATATCTTCTTGAGATTTGGGACATGGCCTGTTTATAATTTCATTACTGTAACAAGCATGCCTGGTCGGAATAATATCAACGGTTAATGCACTCAGTGTTGATTTCCTACAAATCATGTTAGATACTTTCAACTTTGTTCAAAGTATGTCAGGGCGTGGTTTAATTACCTGCGGAAAATCAGGGTGTAGAAACATATTTCAGACGGTAAAGAAAACGGCAAAAAAAATTTGAAAAGGGCTCCCTAGGGCTCCCAGTCACTATCTGTAACAGAATAGACCATATTCGTATTCTCGGTATTAGACTGGAACTAGCTTGCAACTGAGGCTAATGCGGTAAGTCTTTTCAAATGCAAATTGATAATCTCTTTTTAATGATATTGCCCCGCGTGAGCCTCCATTGCAAGCTAATTCCAGTCCAATACCTACAATACGAATATGGCCTATTGAAAACATGAAGGGAAAATCTACATCTAATGAAGGGGAAATTTTCCAAAATATCGTTTTTAAACTCGTGGCTACACGAAGCGTAGAAACGTGTTTGTTGCGGGGATTCCGATATGCAAATGTGTCACTCACTCACTCACTCACTCACTCACTCACTCACTCACTCACTCACTCACTCACTCACTCAGGTGTAGACACTGTTCGTAATTAGTCGGCCCGAACGAGAGCGCCCGAGTCCGACGCAATGTTGGAATAGTTACCGAGCCCGACGCCATATTGGAATGGAACCGAGCCCGCCGCCATATTGGCCTAGTAACCGTGGAGTTACTGCGAGACTACTACTCAATGCGTGCATCGTGCCAGCCCGAATATTGATGATTTTGTAGCTTTTACACGACCATTAATATTAGGTGTTTCGCTAAATTGAAGTGGAG